TGTCACCAGCACTCTGTGTTCCCTGTGTTCTTACCAACCCTGCTCTTGTTAGCCTTTCAAATGTTAAACTCCAGTGTCTTATTCCCCAGTGTCTTATTTTTGAAGATTAGTCTAGCCAGATAGAGCTTCACCATCAAAGCCAAGTTGGCATGAGCTTTCTGTATTGCTCACGTACCTGCAGACTGCTCCAGCTGTGTCAATGCATTATTCCAGGGAACATGTTGATAGCTCAGGTGAGGATGAGCCAATGGAAAGAAGAAATCCAGGGACTAAAGAGGTGGAAACTGACCCATTATTAGATTTGTTGAAAAGCCCAGAGTATCTCAGAAGATGATTTAAGATTCTACTAGTGAGTGATTTCACATAAAAAGCCCTACTATGCCTACTTTAAGATTTACGGTACTTTGAACTCTGATGAATCTGCATTTGACTCCAGACAATTCATCTTTTTATAAAAGCAACTATAGGGCTGGAGAGATAGCTCAGAGGTTAAGAGCACTGCTTGTTCTTTCAAAGGTCCTGAGTTCAATTACCAGCAACCACATGGTGGCTCACAACCATCTGTAATGAGATCTGGTGCCCTCTTCTGGCCTGTAGGGATATGTGCAGGCAGAACACTGTATACATAATAAATAAATAAATCTTTTTTTTTTTTTTAAAAAGCAACTATAAAGAGAAATTGCTATGGATCTTTCTCAACCCATGTTTGAAATTGTTCTTCCTAGTGGATATTTTGACTTATGTGGTATGGAAGATAAGTGGCCTCCCTCCAACTCGTGTGATTGGAAGTGGCTGTAACCTAGACTCTGCCCGTTTCCGTTACCTGATTGGAGAGAAGTTGAGTGTCCACCCTGCAAGTTGCCATGGCTGGGTTCTCGGAGAACACGGTGACTCTAGTGGTGAGTGTGACCCAGTCATTGTAAGTGCCCTTCCAGTGTTCAGTAATGCTTCTCTTCAGAACCCATTCTCTGTATAATTTTCATTTTGTTGTTATTTTCTTTGGTGTATGTTTTTTCTATTTGTATGTTTTTCAGACTATTTTAATTGAGTGAGTCATGGTAGTGTCTACCTGGAATTCCAGAACTTCAGAGGTAGAATCAGGAGGATTGCTAGTTCTAGGCCAGCCTGGGCTACAAAACAACACCCTTCCTGAAACAGTGGAAAACATTTATTGATGCATAATTATGCATCAATGGAGAGTACAGGTAGATGATTGATGCATATATATGTAACCTAGTGATCAATCAGTGCTATCAGCCTCGTGGTCACCTCATCAATCTATCACTTCTGTGTGATGAGAACATTAAAAACCTATCTAGTTTGACATAGACAATCTTCTAAATGTTTTTTACTATTTTAAATTATGTGTATGTATGCATGTCTGTGTGTGGGTATGTGCACCTGAGTGGAGGTGCCTGCAGAGGCCAGAGGTGCTGTATCTCCTTGGAACTGGGGTTACAGGGGGCGGTAAGCTGCCTGATGTGGGTGCTGGAAAGAGCAGAATCTGTTCTTAACCACTGAGCCTTTTCTCCAGCCTGAGACCATACTTGCCCCTTTTAAAGGACAGGTCTCCTGGATGTCAGGCTGTCCTGAACCTTGCTCAGTAGCTAAGGATGACATTGAAGTCTGCTCCTCCTGCCTCTATTTCCCAAGCATTCTGTCAGCTAAACTCTGAGCCCAGAACAAGAGCACATAATGACCAACTACAGTCTGCTTACCCTGCATCCAAGTACCAGCACTCGCCTCTCTTCTGCTCAGAAGTGTGTGCTGCCCTGGGCGCCCTTTCTCCCACCTTCCCTAGTATCTCATGACCTCTATTCTGGACTTTCTCGTGTCTTTTTTAGATTTCATATTTAAATGACATACACTCCACAGATGACTTTCCGTGTCTGGCTTATATTGCTGCATATAATTTCCTGTTTTACTCAGGTCATCACAAATGACAAGATTGGATCCTTTTGAGGCTGAGCAGTATTGCATCACACACATGTACACACTATTATTTCCGTCTGTCTTTTGATGGAATTTTGGCTGACTGTATGTCTTGGAGGGTGCATGGAAGACTGTAGTAAACAGAGGTGGGCAGCTGTTGTCCTCAATATACTGACCTCAATTTCTTCGGTTGTGTGACCTGCCCAGTAATGGGATGCTGGCTCACATGGTTAATTCTAGTTTTAGTTTTTGAGGCATCTCCATGTT